AACTTACCAGAAAAAAAAATCAAAATCATGTGGGAATAGGATGAGATACGTATTGTTCCCATCATCCTGTCTGTTACTAGAGCTGCTCTGAGGATGTTTTCAGGGATCCTACAGAAAATGAGCTCACATCCTAATACTTTTGTTCAAATACAAAAGCAAGAATTATTTTTTTTATCAATTTTTATCATAGCACATACATTAAATATAAAAGAAAAATAGCATGCTATCAACTTATTCCAGGACTGTTTCTATCTGGACTTCATCGAACAATGTGAGAATGAGATGACAATAGTTATTATAGAAGATATAGTGATCCTAAAATGAAGTTGAACACTGAGTAACTATGATATCAGAGAAGAGATGAGAAAGTACCTCACTACTTCAGTAGAGAGGTGAACTCTATGTGTGTGGATACTATTAGACTCAGTTGCCGTATTAGTTAGTTTTGCTTACCTCTTTTTCTTAGTTACAAAGAAAGGTGTAATGGATGGGGGAAGGCATATATCTGGAAGTGATCGACATAAAAATAGAAGGTATTAATTTAAAAAAATTTCATGGCAAAAAAAAGAGAAGTATAATGACCATAACAAGGTTTTGCATAACAAAAGCAATGTATTCCAGAAGAAGAAGAAGCAAACACAGGAAAACCCTCCCATCAAACATTTCTAATAGAAGTCTAATATTCAAAATGTATGAGGAACTGAATAAATTTACAAGAATAAAAGCCATTTTTCATTAGCTAAGCCATCAAAAGATTTGAATAGACACTTCTACAAAGAAAAAACAAATTATCAAAATAACCACATAAAATACTTAAAATTGATAATATAAAAGAAATGAAAATTTTAAAATTTGAATATGCTGTATAAAATCTGTCAAATGGATGAAGATAATACAAAATAACAAAATTCAATACCAAGAATGCTGTGGTAGCATGGACATGCTATAACCCTTCTCGTGAAGCTATGAATTGGTCTAACGTCAAGAGATACAAAAACTTAGATAGTTTTTTAACTTGGTAGTTCTACTTCTGGGACTCTACCCCCAGGAAGTTATTGGCAGTTTGAAAACAAAATTATCTATACAAACATTTTTCCAGAAACACTAGATATAATCACACACACACACACACACACACACACACACACACACACACACACACAAAATAGAAACAAACTACTTGTCCGATATTTGGGGAATGGGTGAATTAGAGTATATGAACTCAATAGTTATTTTGCCATTAGAAATAATTATGACAAACTCAAAGAAATATTATAATATTTGTATGAAATGATACAAGTGAAGAAGGCAGGATTGACAGAAGAATATATCCAATGATTACTGTTGTTTCTTTGTAATCAGAGACAATAATAAAAGCAACACTTCATGTTAAAAATTCATTAAAAAATCACAAAAGTAGGAAGGATGAGATGGGTAATTCTTTGTTAAAGTCACACTTAACATACTTTTGAAGATGAAATCAGTAATGTAGAGTCATTTAGAACATTGATCTGTTTTATTTGCTTGGCCACTATCTTACCTTATAAAGTTTATATATAAGTGAATTATGTATAATGTATGCATCCAGAGTTGTCACATGGTGGTCAGAAGAAGCGACACAAGGATACTGTCAACATCTTTCTGAAGAACTTTGGAATCGATTGTGTCATGGAAGACAGTGACACAGGACAGCCCAGAATGGTGTGCCCTCATCAAAGAAGATGCTGTGCTTTATGGGTAAAGCAGAATTGAAGTAGTTCGAAGGAAATATGAAAAGGACAAATTCAGAGAATCCACCCCAAATGTTCACATGGCCTATTTGTGCCCAACCTGGTATAAAGCATTGGAAGCTCATATTGATCTGATCAGCCACTGTCAGATATACTGTAACTAGATTCTAACATCATAAGGTCATTTGGGTCCTCTTACCCACCAACCAATGTATAAACATTGTGTGTGTGTGTGTGTGTGTGTGTGTGTGTGTGTGTGTATTTATATAAATGATATCTTCTATTACCTGCATTTGACTGAAAGAGCCAAGGAAAAACTTATGGAAGACCAGCATATCCTAACAGGGGGACATAAGATGCAAACTATGTACATAAGAGATATATGAAGGGTAAATTATGGGTAATCTCAAAGGGAAGACACTAACATAAAGGAATACTAGGAAAAACTAATTGCAGAAGGTAAGATTTGATCTGAGACTTGGAGGAGGCCAGAGAATCCAGGAGGTGGAGATGATTAAGAAAGCATTCTAGGCAGGGGGGACAGTGGGAGAGGGCATGCTATTTTTGAGGGGCAGCAAGAAGAAGCAAATGGAGGATAGTGAAGTATGAGAAGACTGGAAAAGTAGGAAGGGACCAGGTTGGGAAGGGTTTTCAAAAAACAGAAGATTTTATATTTGATCCTGAAAGTAACAGGGAGTCACAGCAGGGGAGTGATGTGGTCAGACTTAAACTTTAGAAAAATCACTTTGGTAGCTGAGTGACTTTCATCTTTGTCCTGCACTGTTCAAATGACTCCCTGAAGGTCCTTCTGAAGAAAGGCAAGCTAGGGCCTGGCCTCATCATCCTGTTGGTCCTAATCTCCTCCTCCAAAAAGATAGATAGTTATATTAATAGATAAAGCATTTATTGAGGTATTATTATGTGTCAGGCACTGTGCTAGGTGCTAGAGGTAGAAATAAAAACAAGTAAGACAGTTTCTGCCTTCAAGGAGTTTACAATCTAATGGAGGAAGACAACCTGCAAAGGGGATCAAGAAAGCAAGGGGTTAGACGAAGGTATTTGTAGCATCATGGTTTGGAGCTGGTGTCAGGGAAGTGAGATGGAGCCCCAGTTCCAGGCCAGGTAAGAGAAAAGTCACCTATCAGGGTACAAAGACAAACCAGCCCACTAGCCTCCTTCTAGGCCCAACTCAGCTATTTGAGTGTCTGTCCAATACCGCCTCCCCCCCGCCTTCCACACACATATACATAGATATATAGGTACACATTCATACATATATATGTGTATGTGTGTATGCTTTTCCCTTTCATGGCAAGACCTTCAAACCTAGGGTAGTCTGTAGGGGAAAATAGAGGTCCACCAAGGAGGGCAGGAGTGTTTTCTTGACTATTTAGGCCTTGGTGTTTTGAATTTGTAGTAAGGATAAATAAAATTTATCCACTATTCAAAATAATGTCAGCCTGAGTGCTTGCATGGGAGCTGAGGACCTCTTAAATCTCCTCTGTTATCTATATTATGATGCCCTCAAGGGAAATCACAGGCGGGGAGAAAATTACACAAATTCATATGTTCCTAGGAGGAAGCCTAGGTTCAGGCACAAGGCAAAGAAAATGATTTTTGTGCTGTTCCCAAGATTGAATTTGGTCTGTGGAAACTCAGAGCTAGTTTTTGGCTATAGTTCTGGGCCTTGTATTATGCTTTTGAAAGTTGATGTGTAAAAAAAAAAAGTTGATGTGTACTTTATTTTTTAAAATTGGTAAATAACAACAATTGACAGCTTTGTATACAATAATCTCTTTTCTTTGGATTAGTCAATAGATGTTTTAAATATATATATAAAATATATATATATATAAATACATATATTTTTTTTAAGAAAGAAAGAGTTGTCTTCCTTTATCCTCCCTCTATTTGGCCTCATTTCTTTTATCTCCTTTCTCAGTCCTCAGCTCCTCCCCCTCCCACTGCGTTAATGGCAGCAGGCCCCGTCACCTCTTTCTGACACAGGACAGAATGCTGTCATTTTTCTTCAGGCACCACAGCACCCGGACTGTAAGGTGAGATGGCACTGGGGCAGAGGCAAGGATGGCATTTATTCTTGAGTAACTGGGTATCCATTTGGCTCTTTCTAGAAGGAAAATCTCCTTAGAAAAACTAAAGAGAGAAACTGGGATTAAAGATATGATAGTAGTAAAAAGGTATGCTGGGGAAAATAACAGGGAAGAGAAATGGAAGGACAAAATCTACAAAGCAACTGAGCACATCTGATTTCAGACCATTAAACACAGGCTCTAGGGTAGCAGATAATTGGTGCCCAGTTTCATACAGCAAAAACATAAAATATACAGTGTCACTCTTAAAATACAGGACAGTGGGCCCTATGGGGGATTCTTGCACTGTCTACATTGCGTGAGCCATATCTGAGCAAAGCCATATCTGACTCAGATAAGCTCATTTGGGGTTTACCTTCCAGAAGCATCCCCAGGCTTCTCTCAGTGTCACCACTGAGAGCCCTGTTGCAGGCTCTGTTAACGTTGCAGATGGGTTAATGAAGGTGGTTTTGGACAAATTTCAACTGAGGCAGCTTAGTGTTATTAGCTATAGATTCTGTTTAAAATGTATCCTTCAATTTGATTCTAAGCTTTTGTGAGAAAGCACATTAAAATGTCCTCAGTTATGTGCATGTGTCTATAAACTTGCTAGTAAATATTAATTGTGGGCTTGAATTACATGTTGGTCTGCAGGGTAGAGGATAGGACAAGCTTTACCCTGGAGAAAAAGATAAAAGTGCTAAAGACCATGAACCCAAGGAGATAGTCTTTGGAAGGGAAATCTCTCTCTTTTAAGTTGTTCAGATGGTAGCTATTTTAAGGTGTTCAGGTGGTAAATATTGATTACATACTTAGACTAGTGTGGGCCCTAAGTAACCTTGAGGCAGCTAGGTCACTTCCAGTCTAGAACATTGGCCTGAGAGTCAGGAAGGCCTGAGTTTGAATCCTGCCTCAGGTGTCTGACTCTGGACAAGTCACTTAATCTTCCTCATCCACAATTTCTTCGTCTGTAAAATGGCAATAATAATAGCACCTACCTTCTAGGGTTGTTGTGAGTAAGGATTAAATGAGATAATGTATACAAAATGTTTTGCAAACCTTAAATAATTATATAAATATTAGCTGGTGGGTTAGCTAGCTTCAATAATACAGTCCTACAATGGGATCATTAATATGCAGACATGGCCCTGTATGTTTTCTCTCTCTTCCAACAGGAAAGATGATCCTGACTCTTCTGCGAATCCATCCCCTGCTGCTGCTATTGCTTCTCCAGGGGCTAGCAGGAGACCCTCTCTCAGTGGCTAAGGAGCTCCTAGCAGAGCAGCCTGGACAGCATGTCAACAGCAGAGTACCATGGGCCAGCAATTTGTCCTACAAGAAAAAGAAGTTCATGGACAAGTTTGTTGATGAACTAATGATCCCTCTGCCTCCGGACGTGTACTGTAATATCTTGATTAGGAGTAGAAATGTCATGGTTTCTTCGAGCCCGTGCAAGAAAGAACACTACTTCATCCATAGCTCCTGGGATAATCTACGAAATGTGTGTAAAAATAACAAATTCCCATGCAAGAATTCCATGAATAGCTGTTACCAGAGCACAGCATATATGGATATGACAGTTTGTCAGCTACTTGATGGTGATCTGTTCCCTTATTGTGAATACACATCTGTTAAAAAAAGGAAAAAAGTGGTCCTCTCCTGCAAGAAGCTGAAAGATTCCACTTCCCTTTTCCCTAATACTGTGGAAACAATTGCTGACTAAGCCAGATGAATTGTCCAGTTCAGTAGGCTGAAAGCACTGGGCTCTGCTTTCATCTCGTCCAACCCCAGAGACTATCCTCAGACGTGGGAAGGATGGATAGAATATCAGAGACATGAATCCCATCCACGAAAATGTTTCATGAAGGAAACTGAAATTACAAGTTCCACTCCATCCATTTCCATCATTCTGTGAGCAGCAGGAGCCAGTCCTAGGTGGGTAGGAGCCCCAGTCTGGGAGCTGATTGGATAAAGTATCTGATTATATGAAGATGATGGGCAACAGTGAGAGGAAGAGGGACTTTCTTCCTTGATTTGTATCCCAGTGCTTTGCTGAACTGAGTGATTTAGCTAAAAACAATAAAGTGCATTGCTCTAGACAAATTTTTTTGTGTCTTTTTGAAAAATAAAAGCTGTCATTTATAAAGTCCCTATTATGTGCCAGGCACTTTACAAATATCATCTCACTGGATTTTTACTATAACATGAAAGGTAGGTGCCATTTTTTTAAATGAGGAAACTGAGGCAAACAGAAGCTAAATGACTTGCCCAAGGTCACACAGCTAGTAAATGTCTGAGGCTGTATTTGAACTCAAGTCGTCCTTACTCCAGGCCTAGGTCTCTATCTATTGTATTACCTACCTGTCTTTCTATGGCACCCTAGGTTTGGAGTATGAAGGTTGAATTTGAATTCTTTGATTCTCTTTCTGTCTTTTTCTCTCTGTGTGACAAAATCAGGCATTACCCTGACAAAATAATCTCTAAGAAAGAATGTCCCCTGCAGCCTTTTGTCTGGGTTAATTTTCTAATGTTATCACTTGAACACTGCAAAAGGGAAAGATTTCTCATCAAAGGTCTATTCCCCTGGATTCATGATCTTTACTTTGTTTCTCTTTTTTATCTCCAGTATAAACATTTCCTCATGCTCTTCCCTGTGGGCCAGCATGTATAGTCAACTCAAGTCTACAATTAATATTTATTATTGTTTAAGGAAATTTACAGATACATGCACACAGCTGAAGCAAATCATGGGGAATATCTGTATTACTCAACTTGGCATGGATTTGAAATGTTAAACAGTTGTTTTTCCAGGCAGTCCCATTATCATTTTCCCAGTTTCACTAAAACTGTACAACTCTCTTCAGAATTGCTCCTATCACCAACCCACTTAACATCAGTGCTCCTTCTAGAATCCAAAACTCAGACTGTCATATAACTATTAGAGTCACACACAGCAGCTACCACTGGGTTAAGAGCTGAAGGGGAAAACTGCTGCATTTACTTCAGCCTAAAAAGGCATCTCTCATAGCATCACTGGAATCAGCTGACGTATGTTTTGGCCACTGTAACCCAGGATCTTTTACCTTCAGTTTCCCCTGATTTAGTGCTCTTTTCACTATATCATGTTGTGATAGAGAGCACTGATAAGCACCCTGCTAAGCTCACCATCGATGATTAATCTCTGCAGGCATTCTGTGGAGGAAGGCATAGCAAGTCACTAAAGACTGAGGTAATGTGGTTCCCAAATTCTCTGTGGAATTGGGAATATTAACTGGTAGATCCAGCACATTCTGATCACCCAGTAAATTATCTTCCAATTAGGCTATTTTCAATAGAATTTTTAGATGGAGGGGGATGACTAAGAGGAGAGGAGCAGAGTTATGTAGACATAACCCAGCTCTCCTCTACTTATTGAGATGGTACAATGAACACACTACTAGAACTTCCAGAACATGTTTAGTGCTGTGGAAACAACCATGACAGGCAGTGTGGGTGGTGAGTGCATATCGTGGTGCTGTTAAAGGTATATCCACCCACCCTTGGCTCATTACCCTGCTTTTTGTAATCTACTGAGAGCAGCAGCCTGACTCAATATTAATGAATTAATTAAGTAATCAACCACTGAGGGAAGTAGCATATAATTTTGGCCACTAGGTGGTGGTATCTTTTGGGCCATCAAAGCAGGAATGGGCTATGTCAGTTGATTGCCAGTGCACAGGTTACATGCCTGGGCTTTCCCAATAGCTTAGCCTCGGTCACTATTCACCCTGACTAAACTGTGGTCTACTCTCCACTCCTTTCAGCTTGCCTTCTTTAGAGCCACCCATGATCTATACAGATCTAAGGGTATGATTTGGAACTTGTTCAAAATTACCAATACAGTATGTTCTTTTCATCTCCATTGTGAGCCCCCATTTCCCAAGTTTGAAAAACTTATCTTGATCACTCACACTCCCTCATTTGTATAATTCACCAATATTGTTTTTTTTCCTTAATGATCATGTAATTTGTTGAACCAGTAAGGTAATAAAAAAAAAAGATAGCAAAATAAAAGTGTAAAGAGCTTTTGAATAGCAAGTGTAGGGGTATGATGTATTAGCATTAAGCCCCTTTCTCATTCCCCCTCTAGGAGGTAGAATTCAGAGACTTTAATAAAGAGAAGTTTGGAAAGTTTTGGTGGCTGCCAAAATTTTACTATTAAGTACTCTAAGGAAACAAGAGCGGGGGACAATTGGAGATGATACTCCTGAATGTCACCACAATTGTGATTCACAAAGCACTTTTCTAATCAGTCTTAAATCTATTCTGGGAGGGGAATAGGGGGATAGAAAGGAGGGAGAAGTGCACCAGGGTCAAATCAAGAGCTATCAATGAGGGGAAGGAAACCTCTGTGATCTTGAAAAGAGAGGAGCCTGTAGGGGAGTAATTGAGGAGGTGGAGGGAAAGATTGAAAAGGAGAGAAAAGGAAAGAGGCTTTACTTTGGAAGTAGGAAAGAGATTCCACTGATGATGCTCCTATGAATGGAGGGAGATGAAGACCTTACACTGGATGAGGCCTGGTGGATTTGGTGCCTGAAAAATCTACTCATCTGGGGGGCTGGGGGGAGTTGGAACCTCTGGGGGCAACTGGCAGCTGGAGGAGTGGGAGAACATGGACACAGGGAGGAGATTTCCAGATGAATACATACAGAGAAAACCGAGAGAGAGAGAGAGAGAGAGAGAGAGAGACAGAGAGAGAGAGACAGAGAGAGAGAGACAGAGAGACACAGAGAGAGAGACAGAGAGACAGAGAGACAGAGAGAGAGAGAGAGACAGAGAGACAGAGACAGAGAGACAGAGAGAGAGAAAGACACAGAGAGAGAGAGAGACAGAAAGAGAGAGAGACAGAGAAACAAGAGAGGGTATAGATTATTAGTGGTAAGGGGGAGGGAGGTGCCCCACCATGAGGTAATGGCCTCTCTGATACCTGAAATAACAAACATTGTTCTTAGAGTGAGGCATAAGAAAAAAGGTAATCCATAGGAAAAGCCCTATAAGGCAGGGACAGAAAGTACCTAGAGGGCAGAGCCTAGAATGAATATCTTGGAAACTTAGACTATATGAAGAATAAGAGAAGAGAGAGACTAGATAAGTGTGGGAGTCATGAATGAGATTTTAGAGTAAACAGAACAACAATGAAGAGAGTAAAAGAAATCCTTTTTGGGAAAGGATGCAATATAACAAAAATTTAAAAACCCATTGAACAGAACTAGCTGAAAGGGAGGAGAGGAAAGAAAAATCTATCTTAATAAGAGGGGGAAAGAAGGCAAAGAAATATATAACCAAATAAAATCAGGAGAGAGGAACTAGTAAACAAAACCCTAAATGGAAAGTGGTAACAAATGAGAAAAGGGAATCAGGGGGGAGAAGAGAGCCGGTGGGAACAGGACCACCTTTAAAAAAAAGAGCAAAGTAACAGAAGGAATACAATACTGTATTTACAGTAAAAGAGAGAGGAAAAATTATAACCTGAAAAAAAATTCAGTTTTAGAAATAGAGGAGAATATAAACCTCTTATAACTTTAAATGTGAATGGATTAAACAATCCGATAAAATGAAAAATAGTAACAGATTGATTAAGAAACAAAGCCCTACAATCTGTTACTTCTAGGAAACACACTTAAAAAAACAAAGATTCACAAAGTAAAATTAGGGGAATAGGGGAATATTAACTATGCATCAAGTGAATCCAAAAAAGCAGGTGTTACCATCATGCCATATGGCAAAACAAAAACAAACTTCAGAAAATAAAAAGGGATAAACAAGGAAATTATATTAACTGAAAGGAATCATAGAAATCAAACCAATATAGTAATAAAGTTATATGTTCCAAATTCCTTAGCATCCAAATTCATAAAGGAAATATTATCTGAGCTTCAAGAAGATGTAGACAATAATACAATAATGACAGGAGACTTCAACATTCCTCTGCCAGTTTCGATAAGTCTAATAGAAAGTTAAGCAAAAGGGAGAATGTGGAACTGAAAAAATTTCTGGAGAAACTAGAGTTAAAAAACTTATGGCATCTTCTAAAAGGGATAGCAAAAGAAAAAGAACTTCTGCATCACATAGAACTTTTTAGAAAATTGACCATGACCATATTGCAATAAGAATAGAAATTGGTTCAGTAACCACAAACAAAAGATACAGACCTGAATGGAGATTTAATAATGGAATCTTAAATAATGAATGCATCAAAGAACAAATCATAGAAATAATTAATAACTATGTGAAAGAAAATTGTAATCATGAAACAGCACACCCAAATTTCTGAGATGCAGCTAAAGAAGTCCTCAGGGTGGAAATCATGTCTTTATAATTATACATTAATGAAATAGAAAAAGAGAAGATTAATGGAATATGCATTTTTTTAAAACTAGGAAATCAACAAATAAACCTAAAATAAGCACAAAAGAGGATATATTAAAAAAAATACAGAGGAAATACTTAAACTGGAAATAAAAAAACACCATAGAAATGATAAATGAAACTAAAAGCTGCTTCTTTGAAAAGGCTAATAAATTGATAAGCCCTTAGCTTATCTGATTAAAAAGAAGAGTAGAAAATCAAATCAAAATAGCAAATGAGTAAAATGAAATTACAGTAAAACCAGAAGAAATAAAAAAAATCCCAACATTTTATGCAGTTACATGCTAATAAAACTGAAAAAACAAAGAAACAGAG